ATCCTGGAGGGAATGGGCGAGCCGAACCGTGAAGCCAGGTACGATGGCGCTGAGGGGGCCGATCGTACTGCATAAGACGTTCGTCGCCATCCTGGAGGGAATAGGGCGATCCGAACGTGAAAGAGACACGATGGCGCTGAGGGGCCGATCGTGCTACATAAGACGGTCGTCGCCATCCTGGAGGGAGTGGGCGAGCCGAACCGTGAAGAAAGGTACGATGGCGCTGAGGGGCCGATCGTACTGCATAAGACGTTCGTCGCCATCCTGGAGGGAATAGGGCGATCCGAACGTGAAAGAGACACGATGGCGCTGAGGGGCCGATCGTGCTACATAAGACGGTCGTCGCCATCCTGGAGGGAGTGGGCGAGCCGAACCGTGAAGAAAGGTACGATGGCGCTGAGGGGCCGATCGTACTGCATAAGACGTTCGTCGCCATCCTGGAGGGAATGGGGCGATCCGAACGTGAAAGAGACACGATGGCGCTGAGAAGCCGATCGTGCTACATAAGACGGTCGTCGCCATCCTGGAGGGAATGGGCGAGACGAACCGTGAGTCTGGACACGATGGCGCTGAGGGGCCGATCGTGATGCATAAGACGTTCGTCGCCACCCTGGAAGGGATGGACGAGCTAAACGTGAGCTGGGTACGATGGCGCTGAGGGGCCGATCGTACTGCATAAGACGGTCGTCGCCATCCTGGAGGGAATGGGCAAGACGAACCGTGAGTCTGGACACGATGGCGCTGAGGGGCCGATCGTGATGCATAAGACGTTCGTCGCCACCCTGGAAGGGATGGACGAGCTGAACGTGAGCTGGGTACGATGGCGCTGAGGGGCCGATCGTACTGCATAAGACGGTCGTCGCCATCCTGGAGGGAATGGGCAAGACGAACCGTGAGTCTGGACACGATGGCTCTGAGGGGCCGATCGTGATACAGAAAACTAGTGATGATCATCTCATGGCCCTCGGCCTGTCGGTGAGTGGTAATCGTCTCACGGCCCTCGGCCGTGCTGGTGATGTGTCAAGTCTCTCTCCTGATTGGCTGTGAGAAGCCGATCGTCTGCCAGGACTCCATCCGGGAAGGAATGGTGAGCCTGAAATAAATCTGGGCGATGTTCCTTCTACTTGATCTGGGGAGCTAATCGTCGTTCGAGGCAAAGGAAAACCTGATGTTAGCCGATCGTCGTCGGCCACTTCATTCTTCGTACTTAAGTCTTGTAATTATTCTTTACATATGTTTTTCAGTTTGTACTTCACAGCCAATAGTGCCAAGGGATAAAATCATTCTTTGCTCCGTGCTCTTCTGGCATCTTTTTTTTTTTTTTTTTTTTTTTTTTTTGGAGTCTTTTAGTCTTCGTTCGTCATTGGTCCTTGGTCCTACCGACGTTCTTACATCGAAGATACGTTCGGTATCCGCGGACATCGCAATGAGGAACAGGTATATCTACATCGAGATTCCCCCTTTTTCGTTCGTCCCTGGTCCTTTTAGTCTTACCGGCGTCTCTTGCATCGAAGAAGACGTTCGGTACCCAAGGAACTCGCAGGGACGAACTGGTTTACCCTCACGGGTTCCCGTCTTTGTTATCCCACGTCCATCGATCCATGGTCATTGTGGGATGAACAGGTTTATCTTGGCAAGGCTCCCTTGGTTCGTCTAGCCCCCTCCGCGTCTCTACTAACCTCTACATCGAGAGGCGTTCGTCTTCGGCGGTGGGAGAAGATCTGGCACACCCGGGCAAGATTCCCTTCCACATAGGAGCTACCCTCCTCTTCTCCCCATCTTTTTTTTTTTTTTTTTTTTCTTTTTTTTTTTTTTTTTGTTTGAGGGAGGCAATCTATACTCTTCGTTCGTCATTGGTCCTTGGTCCTACCGGCGTTCCTACTTCGAGGAGACGTTCGGTATCCGCGGACATCTCAATGAGGAACAGGTTTATCTGCATCGAGATTCCCTGGTGCTTCGTTCGTCCCTGGTCCTTGGTCCTACCGGCGTCCTTACTTCGAGGAGACGTTCGGTATCCGCAGACATCGCAAGGAGGAACAGGTTTATCTGCATCGAGATTCCCTGGTGCTTCGTTCGTCCGTCCCTGGTCCGTGGTCCTACCGATCTTCCTACATCGAAGAAGACGTTCGGTATCCGCAGACATCGCAAGGAGGAACAGGTTTATCTGCATCGAGATTCCCTGGTGCTTCGTTCGTCCGTCCCTGGTCCGTGGTCCTACCGATCTTCCTACATCGAAGAAGACATTCGGTATCCAAGAAACTCGCAGGGATCACGGGATGTCACACATAATGGTGGTGGCATACCAAAACGAATAAAATGACGAGGCGACGGAATAGCTGGTCGTCATGCGAAGGCGATGGTCACCCTCCTGGAGGGGAGGGGTGAGCCCGATCGCTGACTCAAGAAGGTCGGCATTGGGAGCCGATATACCATGATCATAATATCGCTGAGCAGTCGGTCCTGATAACGGAGATGGCAATAGTGTCCAGTCAGGCCGATATATCCGAGCAACGGCTCTCATCCAACGCAGCGCGGGGATGAAACCGGTCTTCAAAAGATAAATATGTCGTGCCGAGAGGCCGAACATAACATGATAGTGTCGGCAGTGAGAGGCCGACCCGAAAGAATCAAACAACGGTCCTCGTCCGCGGGGTGGCGGGGACGAGGCCGGTCTTCAAGAGATAAGTACGCCGAGCCGAGAGGCCGGTCGTGGTATAATGGTGTCGGCAATGAGCGGCCGATCTGAGAAAATCAAGCAACGGTCCTCGTCCGCGAGGGCGGGGACGAGGCCGGTCTTCAAATATGATAATCACGCCATGCCGAGAGGCCGGTCGTGATATGACGATATCGGCAATGAGAGACCGATCTGAGAAAACAAGCAACGGTCCTTATCCGCGCAGTGCGGGGACGAGGCCGGTCTTCAAATATGATAATCACGCCATGCCGAGAGGCCGGTCGTGATATGACGATATCGGCAATGAGAGACCGATCTGAGAAAACAAGCAACGGTCCTTATCCGCGCAGTGCGGGGACGAGGCCGGTCTTCAAATATGATAATCACGCCATGCCGAGAGGCCGGTCGTGATATGACGATATCGGCAATGAGAGACCGATCTGAGAAAACAAGCAACGGTCCTTATCCGCGCAGTGCGGGGACGAGGCCGGTCTTCAAATATGATAATCACGCCATGCCGAGAGGCCGGTCGTGATATGACGATATCGGCAATGAGAGACCGATCTGAGAAAACAAGCAACGGTCCTTATCCGCGCAGTGCGGGGACGAGGCCGGTCTTCAAATATGATAATCACGCCATGCCGAGAGGCCGGTCGTGATATGACGATATCGGCAATGAGAGGCCGATCTGAGAAAACAAGCAACGGTCCTTATCCGCGCAGTGCGGGGACGAGGCCGGTCTTCAAAAGATGAACACGCCGAGCCGAGGGGCCGGTCGTGGTATGATAATGTCGGCGATGAGAGGCCGACCTGAAAATCAGGATGGTCTCACGGCCCTCGGCCGTGATGGTCTCCTCTAGGCCCTCGGCCTCTGAATGATGGATGATCGTCTCACGGTCCTCCGCCGTGGTAGTCCACTATAGTCCTCGGCCTCTAGGTGTTCTCTCCTAGGCCATCGGTCTCTGGGGTGGAGATGCTCGTCTCACGGTCCTCCGCCGTGGTAGTCCACTATAGACTCTCGGCCCCTAGGTGTTCTCTCCTAGGCCATCGGTCTCTGGGGTGGAGATGCTCGTCTCACGGTCCTCCGCCGTGATGGTCTCCTCTTTAGCTGGCCCTGAACGTCTTCAAGACTCGGGCCGAGCGTCTTTTAATCATTTCACTCGAGCGCGTCGAGTGATTTCAGCTGCGCAATAAGCATGGTAACGGCCACATGGCCCAACAATAAATATGCACACATAACCATCTGCATGGCTTCCTCTTTAACATCCGCGAATACCGGCCTATGGGTCATCGTGACCCTCGGCCCGGCTCATCGTGCGGGACTAATGGATGTAGCAGCTCGAGGCGGGGCCAACTGGCAGCCCGCCGAACGTCACATAGAGATATTCATCGGTCCGTGAGTTTTCAAACTCAGACCCAAGTTGGTCGCACTGACCTCAGAAAAAGGAGGTTGGGTGCTTTGGTGCCTTCGGGCCCCACAGGCCACGTTTGGCAATAGTCATTTCGCTTAATGGCGTAAATGATACTGGGGTATGATTGTCGATCGGGCACGTAGTGCCGTGCGGACTATTGCGTAACCCTCAAATTAAAACGCGTCATCGGACACTACCCTCTGGAGACGCTCAGATCGCTAACCAAAGCCGATCGAGAGTGGGTTAATCGAACCCCCTTTTTTATTAAATATTTAATAAAAAAGTTGGCTGAACTAATTATCACTAGAGCTTCGCTCTGCATTATTTAATCTCGGGACATTTTTATCCCTAATAAATAATAGTGATGTATGGGTAGTAATAATGATATTATCCTATCAAAGGCCATCCAGGTATACTCCGTTCGCTAATTAAAGCCGATCAGGAGCGGGCCCACATGCTCACAACAACCAGTCATCAATTTTAATGACGATGGAATTAATTATCACTGGAGCTTTACTCATCTGAGCTTTGCTCGACATTATTTAATTTTGGGAGATTCTAATCCCTAATAAATAATGGTGATAAAATAATTTAACCAATAACAATACTAGTATAGATACGAAGCATTTTAACTAAAAATCATAGCATCTCAACTAAAAGCATAAGCGAAGAGTACTCAGCTTTTGGAAAGGGACGCTCGGCCAGGCAGCTCGTGAAGTCAGATCTGCTCCCCTTTTAAATTGGACTTAGTCAACTTAAGGGACCAGCTGGCCCCCACATCTTTGACCAAGGGGCAAGACTTCGGCATAGGCTGCTGGAATTCCTCAATTTTGACTTTGTCAAAATTCTCCTAGAAGTTTTGGCCCCATCTTCTTTGGCTCTAATCTTGGAGACGTGGTCTGCTCCCAGTCAAGTAAAGAGCATCTGGTGGAGAGGCAGACGAAACATCCCACCAAGGTCAATCAGTGCAGGTCAGTTGTTGGCTGGTGGCGACGAAAGCTACAGCAGGGCGAGGGAGGCTGGAAAAGCGAGCCCACGGTGGAGATCGGCCGAACTCCGAAGCATACCCTTCCTGAGCTCCAAGCAGCCATCCATGGCAGAGCCCGGGGAAGCCTCGGCTTAAAAAACCCCGTCGCATTACCAGAGGTTGGGGGCTGAGCAGCGGCATGCAGCTGGCGGTGCAAGACGGTGCTGCGTTCCCGTCGGAGGACCCAGCTACGTCCGATGAACAGTGCTGCTACGGCGGAGCTCTCCTGGGACCGAGATGACGAGACCAGGTAAAGGGATGCTGCAGCAGGTCTTTGTCTGGTGTGGATGAACTCGCCGGAGGGTCCACCGCGGTGGGAAAGGTAGCGACGGCTCCGGCGACCCCCAATCCGGATCTGGAAAAATCCAAATGTCATCCTCCAGATTTCGTAGCTCCCTTACTTCCCAGAAGCATATTTCCTTCGTTTTTCTTCATGTTTGCTCCAGAATCATTTTTTTTTTCGGAATCAGTATATTTCGTATGAATTTTTTTTGTAGAAACTCAAGAACAGTAGAACACACGAATCTTTTTGGACAGATTCCCACAGACGGCGCCAGTGTTGAGTATAATCCAACACGATATAGTAAATATATGTATAAATGTGTATGAACAACTCAGTTTTTACGTGGAAACCCGAAAGGGAGAAAACCACGGGACTTTTTAGGCTAATGTCCAAGCCCTCTCTTTCTCATTAGGACTCTCCTCACCGTTCATAGTACAATTTGGGCTCCCATTAATGGAGTATTGAGCTAGTCTAAAAGAAGAAAGGAAGATGGAGCTAAAAGAGGATCTCCAAAACATGGAGGGAAGCCTCATATTTATAGGGGAAAGGGGAAGGGTGCTCTCCACCCTAATGGGCCAAACGAGCCAATATCGGGCCTAATGGGCCTAGCTGCTCGGGCTCCGTACTGGATAATGTCTTGGGCTCCTGAACAGTAATAGGCCGGGATAATATATCCCAACAATGTCCTTGCTTTGTGATTCATCTCTCTTATTGATGGCCTTCTCCATCCTCACCTTCTTCTTCATTTCAGTTGTGGGATTATGTGCGTACCTTTTGGGACTTTTAGCACATCTCTTCGGCCTTTTCATCCCCTCTTCTTCAACTTCTAACTCATTTGTTATTTGTATCTTCTCATTGTACAAGGATATGCATGTCCATTGCACCGTGCTTATCTCTTTTGTTTTTTCTGAACTTGCACACTGTTTGTTTCAACATTCAATTTTTCTTATCTAGATTTACGTTCCTTTTCACCTTCTCTAAACTCATCATTAGGACTTTCATTATCACCATTATTCAACATTTCCGCCCAATCTTCTTCAATTATCTTCTCCGCTTGCATGATATTTTTAGTGACATTAGTAACGTTATTCACAAGAATGGACATGAGACTAGCTCATCATGCTTCTTATGATGCTTTTTTGGGACATTAGTGGTGTGATTTTTAACCAGTCCCTCCAAAGAAAAAGTTTTTACGCTAAAAACATCCTCTATTTTGACAATTCTTTCGGATCTAGTAAACGGTCCTCTGATTGGATTTATGTCATTGCTTCGTGATTCATCTCTCTTATTGATGGCCTTCTCCATCCTCACATTCTTCTTCATTTCAGTTGTGGGATTATGTGCGAACCTTTTGGTACTTTTAGCACGTCTCTTCGGCCTTTTTATCCCCTCTTCTTCAACTTCTAACTCATTTGTTTTTTTATCTTCTCATTGTACATAGGGATGGCAACGGGGCGGTTCGGGGACGGGTATACCATTACTCGTACCTGCCCCGTTTGATAAAAAAAATCCCCGAAACCGCCCCGTTACCCGTCGGGTATTTTTTACCCGCGGGTAACGGTTTTCCCCGCGGGTAACGGTTCCCCGCGGGTAACCGTTTTATTAAAAAAATATTTTTTTCCCTTCAAAATTAGTATAAATCCTAAAATGATGATTAACTACTTATCATTAACCACCTAAATTAAAAAAATAAATAAATAGTACCACAGATAGAGTTAAATAGAGTTAAAAAACAAAATTAAATAGTACCACAAAATCATAATTTAAAATTTAAAGCTTGATATAATTTATAGCAACCAATCAAAATTAATTTAATCATCCATACACCTCTACAAAATTATTAGCAATTACATAAATTAAAGCAAGGTAGAGTAATCTAAAATATTTGGACTTTAAACTCATACGTGATTTTTATGAAAGTTATTGGGTGAAAAATTAAAAGAGTCACAATGTGAAAATTGCGTAGAGAAAATCACGAAAATCAAATAATCAATGTGTGAAGAAAATAAATCTTGTAGAAGTTAACAAAGGAAGGATGATGAATGATATTGAAAATTCAAAATCTAAAATCGTGAACTTTGAGCACCAACTCCTCATAATTGCAAAGGATAGCCAATAAGTTGAATATTGTTTTAAAGTATTAGAGGGAATAAGTGTCATATACTAATGTACTACTACTCATATATACTTAATATATTAAATAATAAATACATAAACTATTTAAATATATAAGTTAATTGTGCGGGTCGGGCAATGGTGCGGGTAACTGTATCCAAATTAAATGGGGCGGGTAATGGGGCGGGTAACGGGGCGGGTAGGTATAAACCCATAACCGCCCCATTACCCGTTTACATAAATCGGGTATTCCCCGCCCCGTACCCGTTACCCAGTCAAAGCAGTTTTCCCCATTTTGACCGGTTCGGTTCGGTGCGGGTATCCGTCGGGTCGGGCTAAATTGCCATCCCTAATTGTACAAGGATATGCATGTCCATTGCACCGTGCTTATCTCTTCTGTTTTTTCTGAACTTGCACACTGTTTGTTTCAACATTCAATTTTTCTTCTCTAGATTTACGTTCCTTTTCACCACCTCCAAACTCATCATTAGGACTTTCATTATCACCATTATTCAACATTTCCGCTCAATCTTCTTCAATTATCTTCTCCATTTGCATGCTATCTTTAATGACATTAGTAATGTTATTCACAAGCATTTGCAGCTCTCCAGTGTTGATGCTTTTTTTAGTTGGTGTTTCCAACACCTCACCTTCTTCACCTTCTACACAAAGTACATGTGTATGTTTGTGTGCATTAATATAAATAGTATAGTCCAACTCTAAAATGAAATTTGTCCCATTATTCCATATGAATTTGCCTTCAATTAAAAATTAAAATAAAAGAAATGTTACAAGAAAGAGTTGTGCACTTCTAGATCTACTGTTGAGTTCATATCCATTCTTCATACCCCCTCTTCCACCTCATCTTCTCCTCATTTATATACTAGTATTTGTTTTTCTTCTGTTCAAGGCCTTGCCAAGCAGCAATCTATCTCATTTTTTTTTGTTCGTGCAGCACACATATCTTGGAATCATACTCCATAAAAATTAGAGCAAATGATTGTTGTACCTGAAAACTCTTTCTAAAAATATTCTTATTTTGCCTTTTATTATTTCTATTTATATACAATTACAAAAGTGTTATGTTTTTAGCGTATATATTAAATAATTGATTTTTGTTTATTTATTTTTATATTTGTGTGTGAGAAAACTAATTCACAATTTTTTTTAAAGAAACAGAATTTTTATTCATGAAAATAGAGGGATTACATCAGGATAGTAGAAAAAAAGAAAATACCTAAACAGCTAAATAAGAGATCAACCGAAAGTTAAAAAGCCAGAAATTGGGCCCAGTAAAGAGAGTTATCCTGTGGCCTAAGAGAAGAGCCAAAAAGGGTGACCCAGTCTGATAAATAGGTAATCCGTCCAAGGAATGTCTGTCTTTCGGTAGGGTTTGCGTCGCAAACATTCGACAGAGAGAGCTCTAGGTTATTCGTCCGTTTCACTAATTCACAATATATAACATTGAATGACTCATGGAGCATAAAATAAATATTAGTACGTCATTACTTAATGTAAAACTTCATCTAAATTTCAAGTATCAAGAGACACTTTTGTACGTCTCAAAATCTATCTTATTCTTTAAATTTTATATAAAAAAGTTCAAACTTCAACTTTTCTCACAATTATACTTTCAATGGATTCAAAATTAAATATTGAAGAAGAAAATCTTATTTCTAAATCATTTTTTTCATTCCTTTCTAACTTTAAGTTGTTACAAAAATTATATCAAAGTTGATAACTTTTTATTATCTTTCAAATGACACCAGTATTGAATATATAAAGAAAAAAAATTGACACCCAAAAACGTCAAATAAATAAGCCCCCTACTAGTACGAAAATATTGTTTTTGTGTGTTTGTAGGTCTAATTGGGGAAGAAAATGCCACACATAGTCTCAGACTATTGTGGCACGACCTAGTTTAGTTCTGCTCTTTAAATGTGAACATAAGACACCCCCAAGTATGACAAACTTACCAAATTTAGTCCTAACACACCTTGGCCGTCTACGAAACTGTTGGGATAATATGCCAGGCCTAGTGCCCTCGGCCTGTAATCCCCGAGCTTCGGCCCAACTAGGCCCAAGACGCAGTCTCCCGAGCGGGAATCGCCCCTTGCTCATTTACTTATTTATTGGGCCGGTTCGCCCATTAGCTTGGACATGTATTATGTATTTGGGCCAAGCCCACGTAGATTAGACTTTTGGACTTGTGGTGGATGCCTATAAATAGGCCATCACCCCTCATGTATTCGGGACGTTATTTTACTATACTGAAATGCTGTCGAATTCTCTACCCGGGTTATTTTCTACCAACATTGGTGCTTTCATTGAGAGCCATCTCTCATAATTTTCGGTAGGAACTATCCAAAGATTCGAGCAGCAATCAAGCCATACAAGAAACCCATCACAATTTCCGAAATCAGAAAATTGACATAAAAAATGACGATTTCTAGCTAGATTTGGATTTGTAATTTTCTAGTTATGGAACTTTCATGGTCAAATATGAACTCACAGGTCAGAAGAATTGGTCAACCAGAGAAGGCATAACGCATCTCATCGGAACCCTACTGTTGGGAGGAAGAAGCCATGGCTAACCCGGTCTGACGACCGTCGTAGCAACGTCGCTGTTGTCGCTCGCCTGGTGATCCGCTCCCCGACACAGCCGGCTATCTCTCGCCACCCCGCCTTGCCGGCCGGCAATCGCTGCTCGAACCCCACCTCAACGTCCTCCATTAATGGCCGCTTGAGGTCAGGGGAGGCAAATTCAAGGCCATGGTTTCCTTCTTCGTTGTCCCTATGACGGTCCCTGCGAGCCTGGATCAATGGGTGTTGTCATCACTCCACAACCCGAGTAACTGCCGAGTAGCCGTCCTCTCCAACCATCACCGACCAGAACCAGGGATGCCCGTCCGACTTTCCTCCAGCGAAGCCTCAACCGGAATGTCGAATGGTACCAGGCTGGATGGAGGAGATGATTGCTCACCAAAGGCGGGGCCTCTATTTTGGGAACAAAGGCTCTAGCGATGATGCTTTTGGTATACTGGAGGCGTGAGGAAGCAGGAACCAGGGAGATTGGAGAATTTTGACCCGGTCAAAATTGGCCTAAGAAATCCTAACCTGACCTTACAAAGCTCCCAACTGACCGAGCCTTTTTTTATTTATTTTGATTTTGATTTTCTTTTATATAGATTGACGTGGCAGATCTAAAGAATTGGGAAAATTAACTCAATCGCAAGTTAGTAAGGATGAGAAGTCGCCTATCATACACATTCGGAGCTATCATCCCATATGTTGTATGCTCGGTGCCGCACGCTATGCCTTTACACCATGCTTGTATGCTCGGAGCATGACGGATTTAAGAGGGAGATGACAGGAAGATCACGCTAGATACACCTTCCCGGATGCTTGTACGTTTAGACCATGATGGATCCCGAAGGGAGTATGTGTCTCGGCAAGTTGAGCAGCCATAGTAGCTAAGAAGGAGACCTTCCCGGCAACACTCATCCGGAGAAGGAGGGGACGATTCGTCTCATCACTCCCATCGACTGGGAGGGCAGGCAGGTAGGCTCCCCGGACGGTTGCCATGCTGAATCTTGACCTCACGTAAGTCACCAGCGTTGATAGGTTGTGTAGCACTGTCGTGCACGCCCGAAGCTATCATCCCAGACGCTGGTATGCTCGGTGTCCATACGTGTCGCAGCAAGTTGAGTGGTCAGGAAGGAGACCCTCCTGGGAACACTCGTCCCGGGAAGGAGGA